GACAACCACCGTTTTGGAAGGCTGAGCCCTCCCCGCTCCGCACCGCCTCGAGAGCGTGCCAAATCTCATACAGCTCTGCCGAGTGTACGCTGCAATGAGGGGGCAACGCCCCCCCCTCCCTCGCTATATACAGCACACGCCACACCATCGCCAGTCTAGGACCCGTCTGTAAAAATGAGACGACAACCAGAGGTGTGGCGGTGTACACGATTTGGGCAAGTTCGCCAGATCGTCGCGGACGAGTACGGCCAGAAAGGTCCAGGAGGTGTCCGGTCCTCACTAAAGACCCGCCAAAGCGAATCCCGAGGGGTCGCGTTCGCGAGCGAAGCCTGTCGTAGACTACTCTGTACGGACAGTGGATCTTCATAGCAAGGGGTGCTCCGGCTTGGCCAAGAACCCGGCCGCGTAACCAAGCCCGAGTTGCTCTCTCCGAAGTTCGGGAGGCAAGGCTCCCAGCTCGCAGCACAGACTGGCCAAGGGACTGGTCCTGAACGCGCCCGAGGTTACTCTGAGACCCTGGTAATAGAGCCTATCGAGCTTTCTCAGGCGCGTTTTTCAGGCCGAGGAATAAGCCATACATCCATAAAATTGATCCTCGAACAAAGCAGCGAGTCAAAATTTTTTAGCAGAATCTCCCTGTCCGCTCACAAGTGACCAACAAATCTCAACAGTGAGAGGGTTTTCCCGCTCTGGACGGCGTCGATGTGTGCCTGCCATCTCAATTCTCACCGCCACCAAGAAAAGCGCAACGATAATCACCGAACCATGAAGGATACCGTTCTCTTGAACGTGCTCCCTAGAGAGCACAGTTTCCAGCCTGACGCGGAACCTCCGGTTTTCCAGGAAACCCTGGTGGAACCGTGGCAATTTACCTCTTAGACCGAAATCGTGACATTTCCGTCGTATCGCGTATCTCCACGTAGTATCATACGCCTTCTCGAGGTCGAAGAACACGGCCAGAGCGTGCTCTCTGTTCAAGAACGTGTCCTGAAGGTCGCCCTCGAGGTGACATGCATGATCCACCGCAGAGCGATTCCTACGGAATCCCGCTTGATACTGGCTGTAAAATCCCTTTGTCTCCAGGTGCCAGGTCAAACGACCGTTCACCATAGACTCCAGGACTTTGCTCAAGCAGGTTGTCAACGAAATCGGTCTGTAACGCGCAGCCAGGCTTGGATCCCTACCCTCTTTAAGGATAGGTATGATAAGCGCTTCTCGCCAACGATCGGGGTAAGAGCCCGAATCCCATATGTTGTTGAACAAGTCCAACAAGCGCCGCTTCGTACCCTGGGGAAGGTGGGGAAGCATCTCATATGAGATACCGTCACACCTGGGGCTTGAATTCCGGGCGCGCCCCAACACGGACTCGAACTCTCCCAATCAGAAGCATGTTGTAGGCTTCACTGGTGCCGCCATCGATCTCAGTGTGTTCCGTCTCGTTTTTCCTTTGTCGGAAGGTGTCGGAATATGCCTCGGCACTGGGCACCAGGATACCTATTCTGGGGGAGGGTGGCGTGAGCCACCGTTTCTTTTGTCCCCGCCATCAACGGGGGGCTTTGGTGACTTCTCCTTTTGGAGGAGCAAACGCCAGGGAGGGGGGTTCCCGACCCTCTGCCCAGGAGCGGGACGAGCCGCAGCTTGGTCGTAGGTCCCCGCAGTGCCCCTACTTTCGACCACTGCCCTGGCCTCTCGGAACTCATTTTGTCAATTACTTTAAGATTTTGTATTTCTCGTTCTTTGGAGAGAACAGGGCAGCTGGCGGATCGAGCCGTATGGCATCCCCCGCAGTTCACGCAAGTGGGAGGGTCGGCGCATTTAGATTCATTCGGATGGGCTTCCCTCCCACACTCACACACTTCCTGCGGGGACTTACACCGCAGGGAAATATGGCCAAACTTCTGGCAACGGTAGCACCTTTGCGGAGGTGGGATATAAGGGCGGACTTTCAATTTGTATAAAGCCGCCCTTATCTCATCTGGGCACCTCAGCGCGTCAAAGGTGAGGATTAGACTCGCCGACGTGACAATTTGTCCGTTCCGGCGAGTGTTCATTCTCCTCACCACCAACACACCCTGGTCCCCAAGGCCTTCTTGAATATCATGACTGTTGTTCATGAGGTCACGGCATACTACCACTCCTCTGGAGGTGTTCAACATTTGGTGGGGCAACCTCGACCTCATGGCCAGCAAGCATCTTTAATGACAATACTCTTTCTTCGATTTCTTTTCCTGTTGTACCAATTCAGATCTTGCCCTCTCTGCTCTTGGTGATGGAGTTTGCAACTCCTACGATCTTTTTTATTTCCTTGTGTAGAAGGAAAGGGCATATGGAATTGAAGTCTCCCTCTTTCCTTGCTACGTTGTAGTATTTTGTTTGGTACGTCTCAGAGAGGGGTGTAATTCACATTTTGACGAGACCCAGCGATGAGGCACCACTCCGCGATTTCTTTTTCTTTTCCTTTTTGTCCATGTTACGTTCTGTTCTGGGGACTCTTTTCCTTTTCCCAGCTACGAGAACGAAGCCGTCATCCCCCATCATGGCAGGAGGAGAGTGGATGGTTGTGGTGGGGGGGTTGAAGGGAGTACAAGGGTGAAGAGAATATGGGTCTGGGTGGCAGAGGAACCTTCCGGATTCTCATGAGGCAAATCCTTCAGAGGGATTGGCAAAGGCCTGGATTGAGGTGGAAGTGTTGAGATGGGAGGGGGTGTTGTTGGGCTGGTCGGGCCCGGGTTAGGCGGAGTAGGTACTTTTACTCCTTGTTCTATTTTTTAGTTATGGTATTATAGTTCTATTTCATTAGTTATGTGTTTTGTCTGTAAGATTATATGTGTACCATGTGAGTGCAATCCTCAGCCTTTAGAGTGATCCCCCGGCCCATTCGGGAGCTTCTCCGATCTGCCCGCACCCTGGGTGGCCTCAGGAGGGCCCGCTGCGGTGTCCAGCACGGCAACGATCCAGTAGCCAGCTGGCGGTACTAGGTACCACAACATTATACAAGAGGTGATAGGACAGCCTCCCCGGTGGGTAGTTCGGGGTTCGGGTCCCTGTACTACCTCGCGGCCCGGGAGTGCCGTAACCCAGTTTTCCTCCGGTACTCTCACAGGAGCAGGTTTCTCGGAAACCCTAAGAGACCAGGAGATCCCCCCCTCCAGATGAAAATTGTATGTTGTATTTGTTGTGTTTTGTGCACGGTATTGTGCGTTTGTTATATCCGGGTTCCGAGGCCCTTGGCCGCGTGCATCGGCCTGGGTATTAGTGGTGGCATAGTGACGGAGGCCGAGACACCGTTCAAGTCCCCCGCCCTCACTCCACCTAGTGTTAGGTGTGGCGGAGTTATGTACGTACTGGGTCGCCAATCGCAGGACGTGAGATTTTTAGTTTGTCTCAAGAACCTTCCTAGGGACGGTAGCCCTAGGGTGTGCACTGTTAGTGTACTTATGTCGGTGTAAGTGTAGGTAGGGGGTGTGTAATATGTGTGGGTGGACGCAGTTTACCCTCATGCCCGGGAGGTGGAAGCCGTTATTAAAAAATGAAATGTTAATGTTGTCTTTCATAACAAAACAGGTGGGCCAAAGGATGATAAGGGAAGGTCGAATCGAAGGAGAGTTATTGGAATTTGCCGGATTCCTAGGGAGCAAGAGCAATTGAGAAGTGGGAAATTGTTTAAGCCCCCCTAAGTTTTTATTAAACTTCTCAAGAGAATTTTCCCCCTGCAATCGCGTAAGGATTTCCTATGCGTTTCACCAGAATCGTGCCAATCGGAGGTTTAAAAAAGAAGAGCGATTTAAATAGAACGATTAATAACGTTTTCCTTACACTTTCACTCTAGAGTTGGGCACGATTTGTGCAAAACGTGTACTCTGTTCCAGAAGAGCGAATGCATCTTGAATCATATCCCGGTCGCAGATACTAAATGCCAGATTCGTGATATGAATTCAATCGGGCGAGTACTGAAAACTATTCATTTGCTTATTTTCTGTAATATTCATACTCCGTTTTAAAATTATTCTTTAAAAAAACTAATAAAGACCGTAAAGTAAGCTTTTAAATCGCCTCTCGCATTCGGCTCACACAAACTGAGACAGATTAGTAACAGCTGAATTAGTGCGGAGGAGGAATTTTAATGTAAAAGGGCCGAATGTACGAATGACACAGGTGTGTGTTAAATCTGCGGAACGGGTTTTATTCAAGAATAGAAAACATTACTGCTGTAATGAGATGTCTTCCGTGAACCGTGAAATAGCCTTACAAATACATTCTAACTCTCGAATAAGCAAAGTGGATATTTAACCATGTGTTTATGAAGGTGTTTTAATTAATATACAAGTCCAAGGACAAGGAGAACAGTCAACAGGTGGAGAATTCAGTCAGGGTATCATTACTGATTTGCACTTTTTTTTCTTAACTGGACTACATTGCCTTCTCGCCTACGTCAGCCTGTCCTTTTGGGAAGTTCACTGAGAACTACTCGTGGGAGGATTATAGAGCTTAACTGTTTGTTCTAGTTAGTTGTTTAATTGGTGCACTTGGATATTAGTGATATGACAATAAGTTTAAAATGTTGCTTAATTCAGTTCGATTAATAAAACTACACATAAATACCTACATTACTATCATTCTATTATGTTATAATACTAAATGTTTTCTGTTGAATTATTTGTTAATCCAAAACATCCTAGTCGAATTTACCTTTTCATTAGAGTTAAAAATTGATTTTTCTCTTCAAATGGGGAAAGTGCATGATATTTATACGATTTATTAACAGATCGTCGGTTTTGATGTCCGTCGTGACAAATTGTATTTGATAACTGTTCCAATCAGTTTCGTTCTAAATAGACCGCAGGGGGCACTCCGTTAAATTTGACACTCCTACAAATATGCATCAAATCAAAAGCTCAGATGTAATAAAAATTAAAACAATAAACGTGCTAGCTGATAATGTAATATTAATACTACTTATGTCTAAAACAGTATACATAGATTCATAGATAAACAATTACCTCATAAAGAAGTCGAAACACATTCAGAGATGACCGGCCATACCTGAAAAATCAAAAATTTCATCAGTATATTCATAATACATAACTCATAAAGTTTATAATTAACTTAATTGTTAAATAGTTTCTGTAAAATTTCGAACAAAAATTATATTAAACGTGAACATGATGTGTTTAAAATTACAGAACAGGTAGGTGATCCGAGAATAATTCTGCACCTACTTCATTGTCTTTTATGGATTGTACATAATATAATGAGATTCAACATACGTTCCCAATTACCTATCTTGCCTATAAAAGTATATTATCCAAATTTATCATTAGTTCTCCCATTCAAAACAGATAGACTGTTATAGAATTTCCTCTACTAGAAATATTTGAATTATTGACAAGCAGGTCAGATTGTATCATAATTTTGTCTCAGATTCCAGCATTTACATTTCCAATTAACAAGAGGTTAGAATTAAATACATTAATCCATTTATGTTTTAGTGGTCAATTGACCAAGATACCTATTTCAAATAATTATTCTTTTTATGTAAGGTTTTGGTTGAGATAAAAAAGTCAGTGTCACGAGCTGGATTCGTACCTACGACCTTCGGCTAAATACGCCGCTGCTCTTCCACTTGAGCTTTCGTGACCTCGATCCACTCGGACATCGACTGCCATCTCAACCCCACCTTTTGAGTTTTCCCTCCTTTTTCATCTCAACTAAAAACCTTAATTAATTGTAATGTATTAATTGGTCAAGCGGACCACGAAATTAGTGAATTGAATACTTCTATCTTAGGTTAGCTATATCCCCTCTGAGTGATATAAAGCTCTGACTCCAAACATTCACTCATAAACTAATCTGTCCTATTCTGACCTTTTTTTTTTGGTATCAGAATAGCTCAAGTTGTATAGCTGCGTCGTATTTAGTCAAAGGTTGTGGGTTCGAATCCCGCTCGTGACACTAACTTTTTTATCTCAACCAAAACCTATATAAAAAGAGTAATTAATTGAATTAAATACATTATTAAACACATTAAATTTTTTTAAAGTCCTCTTTTCAGATTATCCCATTTAAGTGAGTTGGAAATATTGTTAGTATATCTATTTAAATTTAAGTTTATGACATGACACTCGACTATTATATTAAAACTTGTCATATGTGACCAACAGTTTTTAACACCAACAACTATACACTATGGGATATTTACGGAACAGTAGAAATGTATGTATACTGTAAGTGCAAAAACCCCAATAGGAGAAAATTTCTACTTAACAAAAAGGAACTAAAAATGTTGACAAGCTAAAATACTCCTTAACAAAATATGAGGAAATTGACAGATGGCCAATGACTATGTCCAAAAAGGATTTTTTTTTCTTTATATATCCGAAGCAACTGCCCTCAAGAATAAGGCCATTCTTGAGTAATTAACCATAACACTGAGAGAATTCTGTATTTTGTTAAAGAAACGAAAATTTTCCAGAAAAACTATTAGCAGAGCACAGACTCAATAGACGAATGAACGAATGTTTATTTACATGATTTCAGTTCCATGCATATAATAATGTAGTGTAGGCCAAATGACGTAGCAATACTATTTAAACATATACATAAAAGTTATTTACATAACAAGATTGTATTGTGGAATAATTACACAAAAAATCACAAACTGAAGGATGTAACCTAATGTATAAATAAATAAATAGGTACTGATAGTAGACTTAGACGAAAGTTTAAGCGTAAAAGGGGACAATCCATACGACTCTATTAGTTATAAACGTGCGTAATAATATAAAACGTATGAACATTGTAAGTACAAATACCCATTGGGAGAAAAGAACTTATTATTCAACATACTAACCTAATAATCCTAATGGCTATATTTATGGAACATGCTCTCGTAAAATATCACCTTAAAAATGTAGGGCAATTAACAGATGACTAATGTCGACTGTATCTAGCGAACACAGGGACGGACTGAGGAATCCATTAGTTTAAAAATAACTTCTTATAAAGAGTTTTTCACTGAAGATGACCGAAAGCCGTAACGCATTGTAACAGTACAATGGAATAGAAAAACCCGTGAATGTAGACGGACCCAGTAAAACAGTAGAAATATGTGTCACACATGAGACCGTCTTGAACTCACCCAACAGTTAAAAAAATCAATTTCAATCGTGGTTAAAGCTATTTCAACTACGACGTTATATCAACCCTTAGGGTGTCGGTGTTTATGGAAAAAAAAACATTTGTAAGTGTCCATGCAGGGCCGCTGGATTCGAACCTTTATCTTACAGTGTTGGGCACTCAACGCCTAAACAGTTGAGGCGACCGAACCCCGTATATCTCAGTTTCAAAATCCTTTAAAGAAAAATATCTCTCCAACATCATACAGTCAACACATATAACCAAACCGTTATATATTTTTAAAATACATTTCAAATTTTTCATCAATTTTTGAGAGGATCTCTGAATACTAGAAGAAAACAATCGAAACAAAGAAAAAACCCTAAGATTTCAAGACTTGTTGATTACTTATTGTAAATAATAATTATAACAATAAAAGCGTTTATTGAAAATAAAATAATTAGTCAAAAATTAACATAAGCATGAACATAAGTATGTCCACCGAAAAAGATGCTAATGCTTTATTAATTATTATTGTTGCTTGGCATTTACATAAAGATGGAGGCGCGTTTGCCTAAATTTATAAACGCCCTGCAACAAATCAAACTAGCGTGGTCATAACATCATTTGTTAAATTAATATAAATATTCAGAAATCGTGAGATGCGGTCTGGTGTGATGTAGGTTTCAGAAAAACATTTTCTTTATCGTGCCAACGTTTCGATCTTTATTGAGATTTAAAGATCGAAACGTTGGCACGATAAAGAAAATGTTTTTTTGAAACCTACATCACACCAGACCGCATCTCACGATTTCTGAATAATTATCGATTAACGGTCACTAATCACCACACATTAATATATAAAAATAATTCGTGAGTTAGAAATACCGAATCTATAACTGGAATGAGCAAAGGGTGAGATTAAATTCAGTCGGAATCCAATCAAGTTTGTAAATGCAATTGTTTGAAAGTTCAATCAGGAAGAGGCCGATTTCAATTTGTTGCTGCTGCACGAACCTGTATATGCGAGAAAAAAATACTTTTCAATTTTTCTTGTTCAGCGAAAAAAAGAACACAATTTCAATTATACAATCTGACGGGACCGCCAAATTTCGATCATATTTATAAACGATTATTGAACGCAGGTTTGTTTAAAAACGTCGTTTAAGACCTGACCTGTTTTGTTTTATATGTTTTGTAATAATATAAAGTTTAAAAGTTCTTTTTAAGTTTTACATGTCGTGTTTCAAAGCGACAATAGTTTTCGACATGTAAAAAAGTAAGCCTATGTTTAAGGCGAGGGTTGACTTAAAGGGGGCAGAGTAGGGTTCACCTTCTAAGCAGATTGTGACGCGACTACAAGAGATGCCACTTATAGTTGAGATGCCAGAGGAGTCATAAAAGACGTGTGTAACGGCTTGTCTAACCTCTGTGATCAGCATACCAAAACAGGGGAATGTAACAAACACGTACTGAAATTTTGTAAATTGAGATATGCCCCACTTAGAGTGAATACGAGTCCAAATTGTTGCTCGGGATCGGTTAAATTATTTTCAAAAACTTAGAAACTGTTTTAATTAATCACCGATCTTTGGAATTGGTAATATCAGAAAAGGAACGTTTGACCCGATTTGACTCGACCGAACTCATTAAAATTTACTTAGCTGACGCGCAAATCGAACTTTTGTTTTATTTATACTGAAATAAGTTCGGTGAGAGAATGCTGCGAGAATAATAAATTCTTTAAAACGAGAAAAGGAAGAGCGAAGCAAAAATAACTTTTCCAAAGCAAAGATTAGCTCAGCGATATCTTTTAAAAGGGGTGGGAAAAGATCTGGAACCCTAATGAGAAGAATTTCTCGACTCTCTTTTATACAAATTACTGCTCATCCATGTCCAAATAACTTTTACTTCGATCTTTGTTTCCTTTGAGACAGCAACCTCTAAAAAACCAGGTACAATCTAATCTGATACGTAAATATCATTTTCACAGGGAACTGATACAAAACGTAAAAAAATTAATACCATTTTTCTTAATCCTCTTATATATTTTAATCTTAGTATCTGTATTAATCATTATAATATAATATATACTTTTACGGTGCCATATAAGTTTAATTAAAACTCCAACGTGAAAGTAAATTGCAGTACAATTTGTGCTTATTCACCTGAAAAATAACCTTTTCCTTCATTATAAATTAATTTACTTTACCATTGAAAATTATTTCGGTATTAAAACTTTTTCAAACTCTGCGTGTTATATTCTAAAATGTTTGTCACTGTCATTTTTCTGAACTGAGAAATTCCTAAGAAATAAAGAGAGAAATGTCAGCTGTGAATGCTAAAATATGGAAAATCATCATAATTCATCTATCGGAACATGAATTTTTCAAATATTAAATCTCGGTGTGGTCGTCGTTTCAGGATTTTATTCAGCTCCCTCCCTTCTTTTATATCATTCTTACCTTCATTCAATAATAATAGCACCTTGGAGGTTGCAATTTAAACCTAAAGCCTTCGTCACTGATAGAAAAATGTTAAGAGCATAAGTTACAAAGATAAGTAATAAAACTACAACTCTATGAATATGTTTTGAAAGGAAAAATAATCCAGAATGCATAATTGGAAGCAGGATGAAAGTCAGAATTTTAGTGTTTCTAGACACGGCACTGCCAATGGACATTTATAAATGATTGGCAAGCCCATAGATAACGAACAGAGGGGAAAATGTTTTGGAATTTTTAACACAACCTTCGAAGAAATGCAACCTTTCGTTCCTGGAAAATAAAATCCCTAAATCAATTGGGCCCGTCTGTACAAAAGTATAGAACAACAAGGTTAGAAGATAAGTATAGTTAGTTAGATAAGTATAAAAACTGTTAGATAGATGTGCATAACTGAATATTAGGTGAAAAGTAAAAGGCAA